TTCAAAAGACTATTTTACACACACGTAAACTGACAGGAAAGCAAGAAAAAAGCATTATGTTGATAATTTTATAAACATTATTTTTGATATTCTCTATTTTTTTCGTCAATCCAGTACAAATTGAGATATTTATTAAAAAATAATGAAAAACACGTTTTGTAAGAAAATGTTGGAACAATTTTTCTCGAAGCTGTTTTTAAAAAAATAAATTATGGAGAGTGGTACACGACTAGGATGGTATATAAATACGTATGCACTTTGAGAAAAATACGAATATTGATTTTTCCAATTCGATTACATGTTGTACTGATAAATAAACTTAGATTCTAACGTAAATTGAGAGTCCTCTAATATCTTTGAAACGTCCTATCTGGAGAACTATTGGTCGTACGGAGTTCAATAAATAATGATTTTCAAGGTAATTTCATAAGCTGTAAGATTGTATACATTTTTCACATATGATAAGCCACAAGCAAGTTATTCAAATGTTTATTACAGTGTGAAAAAATATTTATATCTTGGCAACTATTTATCGAATAAGGTTTACTAACAAAGCAATTTTGCAGAAAGTTATAAAATCAGTCTATTTGATAACAGGTACTTTCTACGTAGGAGTATCTGATTCCGAAATATTTACAAGATATGTTAAGAATTACGTTTCGTTCGAAAATGTAATAAAACATCTTACAAATTGTATCTCGAAAACTATTGATCGTACGATAAATAAAAAACGATTTGGTAGGGAATTTAATGACCTTCAATCTTTATAAGAAGTATTTTCAACGTAAAAATAACCAAATCCGAGATATGTACGAAGAAAGTGCGACAAATTTAATCATTCTCGAAATGATACAAAATACTACTTCCTAAAAAAAATTCTATCTCAGAAAGTATTGCTCGTACGATCTTAACTAAAAAACCAAATTGTTCGTAATTTTGTCAGCTTTCTGTTTGATAATGACCTTTATTTCGACAAATTCAATACTTGCAGAGATATTTTTGAAAGATCGCATTTTTGGCCATTTTTTAATGGTAAAAGTTACGCAAGCATGTGGGCGGCCAGGACATTTAAGTATGTAATATAACATGTCATTTCGAATGATTTTCCGCAAAAGAAATGTTATTTACAATTTTATGATTTAGAAAATTATTTTTCCTGGACTAGGCGCACGTGTAACGTTTCATCTGCGCTCGATGAAAATTGCAATTCCCAATGTTACATTATGTTTTTAACGTAATTATTCTGTTTTTTAATTAAATTAATTTGTGTTACTCTTTGAAATTAAAATACTAACAATTTGAAAAATAAAACGAATTATTTTTGTTCTACAATTCACTCAGAGAAAGCAAGTATCACGCCTGAAAATTATAAATAATTCAAAAAATAAGTAATATGATTTTCAATACTTTACTATTGTGGCGATTGCATTGTCGCTACTCTAGCTGCAATAAACGAGAAATTTCATGTAGAAACAAATCGCGAAAGTATATAGATATACTCGTATTACACTGCAGAAGTGTCTGCGTATCTGATTAATTATTCGGTATGAAAAAAAAAAATTTCACATACGAACAAACATAAACAGTTTGACGCTAACAACGAAAAACCATAATGACTCACGATGGTTTCTAAATTTCGTATATTATATTGCTTTATATTACATATCTTTTCTCGTACAGCAAATCAGTGATACATTGAATGTAATATCGTACGCGTCGGATAAATGTCTGCAAAAATCACTGTAGGTTGTACAAGGAAGGATATATATTCGTGAATAAAGACTGAGACTGTGATTACAAAGACTCGCAATTTATTCATTTTACTATCACAATTCGTTAATATTTCTAAACCTAATCAATAAGTCGAAAATGAAAATTGCAATTTTTATTGGTCATTTCTAATTGTTTATATTTTAGAATTCAATCAATGTTACTTATTGCAAATCGTTATAAATACATAATTATTAGTATATTTGATTAAAAGAACATAAATACTTTAAAAAAAGTAACATTACGAGGATTTAAACTGTAGTCGAGCGCAAATTAAAATATATGACACGTGCGCTCTAGACCGCGTGAGCTACATCGATTTATTAGTCGCTGTCGTAAAGTTCCCTTACACGTAGCTAGACAGATATGTCAATTCTCTTACTTTTCTCTCTTATTCTCTTTCTCAGTCTCTCTCTTTCACTCTTTCTTTCTCTCTTAATGTATGACAATGAGATTTCCGATCACATTGCCAAATTAGCAATGTGACGCGTGTATTATCGAGTGTTATCTCGATGTATTTCCCTACTTTTATTCT